TCAATCCTCATCGGGCAAGACCGACCAGGTCTGCTAGTGATGAGTCTGGCCATGGTGACGGGCTCTCCTCTGAGGTTAGGGAGTTAGATAATTTACCTGCTTGCTGGCGGACAAGACAATCTTGTTACATCTTACAGTGACCCTCAAGATTGCAGGTGTGACAAAGTCCTTGTGGTGGCCACAGGTTGGGGCAGGCTCAAGCCTAGTGTCCTTGCTGCATTTAAAATGTGGTGGTGGGGGGGGACTAGGATGACACCATTTTGTTTTGGCTTAGCCTTTCCAGGGACCCTGAGTGCTGTAGCCAGAAGTTCAGTGTGTTGCTATTTGTCTTTTTGTTCTTCTCTATTATTGAAGAGAGGGAAGTCCAGATTAAGGAGATCTCCCTGTGGGGTTTGAGGGCCAAAACTGTTTTTTTAACTTGGCCTGCCTGGGTATCAAGGGCAGAGTAGTGTATTTGGTCAGGTATCAGTAAGGTGAGAAAGAAATTCAGCAGGGTTTTCATCTGCGTGTTGGGTTTGTTCATGAAGTTTTTGATCATTTGTAGGAAATTTTGTTTAGACCTACAATAATGCAACCAGTCATCATAGCCATGTGCCATGTGCAATGAGCAATTATTTCCCTTATAATCTGGGGAGGGGGGCTGCATTTGGTATAGCAGCATCCCCAGTGGGAAGGTCAAGGTTAGTCTGATGTCTGTGGTCAGTCTTGGCTTGGCCTGCTTCCCACAGCTGAGTTTTTTTGTAGAGGGGAGAGGGTGGATGAAAGGATGATACTGAGAACCTTGTAATGCAAGGAATCACAAATCCTAAGTCTTATATAATTGTGGGATCTGCAGAGAAGAATCCTAGTGTATGAGAGATCTGAGATAGGTCAGAGGGGGAGTACAAGGGACATGAACTACAGCCACCTCACAGGAAGGAATAGGGGCTGGGGTGGAGCAAGTGGTGGATGATGGTTGTGGTTGGCATGAAGATGGTGGGAGGTGGGCGAAGTGAGATCGGGTGTGGTGTGCCGGAAGAGAAAATGGCGATGACATGGGGGATGATGGATGTTAGGGTTTGAGGGGAAGATAGGGTAGGAGCAGCTGGTTGAGGAGGTTGAGAGGATTCTTGTGGATTTGCTGGAGGGGAGTGAAATTCAAGAAAATAATCCAATTGGCTGTCAGCTCTTCTTTTTAGTTGATAGCTGATTAAAAAATCTTGCAGTTACATTTTAAATTTGTAGATTGTTATTACAGTTACAAGGATTTTCATGATGCGCTTTGGGAATACTTAACAGTTTATAAAACAGATGTTAAATTTGTCTCAATAACAGGTACTATATAGAAGAACATTTACAATCCACATAAGTTTAATACTACTCAGAGTTTTGTAGGCTATGATTTAAGTACCTGTCTCTTTTCAAAACTATTCTCGGCATTGATTTCAGAGCTTGAGATATAAACTTTTTCTTACTACCTTTGTCTTTAAAATCACATGGTTAACCTCCCCCACCCCGCCTGCCAAGTAGGAATTTCTGCCACATTCCGGGAACCCCCAGACCCAGATCTAGCCCAGGTCCGGTGAATGTGTGGGAGAGCTTCCGGCTACCCTGAGCCCGCGGGACCTGTTACTGGTCCCAGCCCAGGCGCAGCGTGGGTGAGACCTTCCACCCCATGGGGATACCCCCCACCACTCCTCAGCACCTACCCCACTCCGCCTGCCAAGTAGGAATTTCTGCCCCATTCCTGGAATTCCCCAGAACCAGTCCTAGCCCAGGCCTGGTGAGTGTGTGGGAGAGCTGCCTCTCCCCCCTACTCCACCTTGTCCCCTGCAGACTCAGCTCAGGCCTGGCATATAGGCCTGGGGTGAAACCCTGCAGCTGCAATCCCTGCAGAGAGGATAGGGGGATAGAACCACGCAGCTAGTCCAGGAGCAGAACATCTTGCCAGAGAGGCACAACAGGTTCACCCCTAAGGGCAGCAGTAGGAAGGAACTGAGCACAGCAGCCAGACCCAAGCCAGGCACAACTGGAGAAATCCAAACTTTGTAGATCTGCACCTGAACTTCAGTAGGTGCTAAGGTTGTAACTACAACGAAGATCTACAACAAAAGTCAGAAGACAGCTACACAAAATGACGAGAAGGAACAAAATGGAACCTCAGAACCCAAGCGCACCTGTAACAAGTACAGAGGACACTAACACAGCTGAAATTGGGAATCACACAGCTGAAAGCAAAGAATCAATGGATTCTGAAATAAACATCTGCACAAAGGTATAGAGGAACACAGATTGGAAATGAAAAAAGAAATCCTTGCATTAATAACATCTGCAGTAAAGAATCAAATGCAGAAACATGGAGGAAACCCAATGCCCACCCAGAACAAGTGCAGAGGACACTAGCTCGGCTCAAACGCATGAATTAATAGGGGTAATAGTAAATAAGCAACAGCAGAAAGTTATAGAGGAACTCAGAGTGCAATTCTTTTCTAAAATAAAGATTATCAGAACTCATAGTATCTGAAGTAAAGAAGCAACTACAGAAACATAGGGAGGAAACCCAATCTGAAAAAAACACTGTAGTAAAAGAATTTCTAACTGCTTCTAAAGAAGACATTGATTAACAAAATAGAGATTAGAAAAATGATAAATTCCTTGAATTAGCAATACAGGAAAGAAATAGATAACATGAAGCAGAGTCAGAGATATAGAGGAAATTAAAATCTCAATCACAAGCTTGCAAAACCATTTAAGTGAATGTGAAGACAGAGTTTCAGATCTTGAAGATGCTGGTGCAGCTAGTGAAAAGGTAAGAAAGGATCTCTTAAAAACGAGAATGGAGGAAAAAATAATCCCATCACCTGCAAGATGATGCAAAGATGAACAATGTGAGACTAATAGGCATCAGTGGGAAAGAAGGAGTCAATACAAATGACATTAAAAAAACATGGGCAGAAGTAATTACAGAAAACTTCCCAAATATGAGGAAACATTCTGACATTCAGGTAACCGAAGCATACAGATGGCCAAGTAACCTCAACCCAATGAAAAACACACAGAGACATATAACAGTCAAGATCCCAGAAATTCAGCACAAGAATAATCTACTGAAAGCCGCTAGAGAAAAGAAACAGATCACATTCAAAGGAAAACCCATCAGAATTACGGCCGACTTCTCTTCACAAACCATGCAGGCAAGAAGAGCATGGAGCAGAGTACTTCAGGTCCTCTATGAAAACAAATTCCAGCCCAGACTACTATACCCTGCAAAACTTTCTTTCAAGTTTGATGGAGAAGTGAAATAGTTTCATGACAAAGAACAGCTAGAGAATTTCATGATGATAAAGCCAACCCTACACAGGCTACTGGAAGATGTTCTAGAGAGGGACAAAAATGATCAGAACTCCATGAATGACATCAGAAGCAACCAACTAAATAGGGCAAACTATTAAACACAGGAGAAAAAAGAGTAAATGACAACAGGTAAAAAACATGTCAACTGTAAGTCAGTATATCTCAATTCTAATCGTCAATGTAAATGGACTCAAATTCACCAATTAAGAGAAATAGACTGGCACAGTGGATTAGGAAACAAAATCCAACAATGTGCTGTATGCAAGAAACACATTTAACTCATAAAGACATTAAAAGGCTGAAAGTCAAAGGATAGAACACAATACTACATGCCCCAGCACCTCAGAAAAAAGCAGGGGTAGCA